CCTGGAGCCTCCCAGCCTTGCACCGCGCCCCGGCCCAGTCCTTGCGCCATGGCCTGAGGGCCAGGCCTCTCTGCGAGGCCTGCCTGTACTGTGCCCTCTGGCCCCAGCTGGGCAGGGCCCGCAGAGCCTCCCTGCAGAGGAATGCGTTCTGTGCATGCAGCCCCTGCCCCGGGGAGGGTTTTGGAGAAGCATCCGCTGCTGCGCTGGCTGACTCACCCCTGCCTGCCCCGGCCGCACAGGAAGCCGCAAATCTGAGAGCTGAGCAGGCTGGCTGGCACGGCAGCTGAGTCACATAGATTGGCAGGCCGACAGACAGACAGACAGACAGACAGACAGTGGGGACAGGCAGGCGGGTGTACAGACAGACAGGCTGGCAGACCCGGGCTGGAAGGGCTGGATTAAATGTGGGCCTGGAGGCCAGCCATACCCCCCGAGACCCAGGACCCTCCCCTGAGCCTGCAGCAGGAGAGGGGGCTGATCCAGCCCCCACCCTGGCGGTGACAGCCTTTTCTAGGCCTGGGGCTCCTGGGCAGCGGCTCTCCTTGGGCCCAGCCTCCATCAACCCAGGGAGGTGCCCAAGGTCCCCGCCATGTGATGGCAGTGGGGCCTGAGTGCTCTCACTTCTGTGGCAGCCGCTGGCTGGAGTGGCCTAGGCCTGTGGCACTGAGGTATGGGGGTCCCAGTGGCTCCCCTGATGTGGGAGGGACCCCCGGAGGCTTCGCTGTGCCTCAGCTGGCCCGGTGGTTCCCGTGTGCTCGGACGAGAGGTCAGGGGTGCCAGGCGGGGTATGTGGCTGAGGTCCTGCCTCCTGCCCGCTGTGTGGGGCAGATCTCGGACATCCAGGTGAGCGGGCAGTCGGAGGACATGACGGCCAAAGAGAAGCTGCTGCTGTGGTCGCAGCGCATGGTGGAGGGCTACCAGGGCCTGCACTGTGACAACTTCACTTCCAGCTGGCGTGACGGCCGCCTCTTCAATGCCATCATTCATCGGCACAAGTAGGTGGCCTGGGGCCACAGGGGCTATTGGCTGGAGCTCCCCGGAGCACCTCAGCTGGGCAACTTCAAACAAGTTGGGGCAGGGATGGTGGCGGGAGGGGTGCCTGCCACCGACAGGAACCTGCAGCCTCGGGCGGCTGAGTCCCAGTGCCAGCCCACCCCTCTGGAAGGGTGCAGGCAGGCTCGGCCCCACCCACACCCCTTCCTCCTCCGCCCAGGGCCTTTCCAGAGGCTCTGCTGACTGCCTCGAGGTCAGGGGCCCAGTGTCAGCCCCACATGGATGCCCCAGAAGGGGCCAGGGTAGCCAGACCACGGTGGGAACGGTTCTCAGTGGACCCCTGCACCCCCCCCCCCCCCC